GCCATGTTTGCTCATGAAAATCAACGGCACACAGTTGTGTGGGGTGAGCTGTTTTCAATAACATGCCTCAGCTGTAAGATTTATTTGTATTTTTCCCAGAGACTGGGTAAATTACCTTGTGGAGGGAGTATTGCCATTGATTCAAGTAGCATAGTGAGTGCAGAGCGAATGGTTGGGTGCAGCCCTCGTTGGTTAGTATGAAGACATTGATTTTATTGTGCTCATATGCTTTGCAGTGCTCTCAATCAAATCAGAAACAGAGAAGACGCTGTTTGTAAATGGCGTGTGTGTAGGTGTAGGTGTGTAAGTGTGTGTGTGTGTGTGTGTGTGTGTGTGTGTGTGTGTGTGTGTGTGTTGAGGGGGAGGTGGACTGTATGCATGTGTGAGAGAGAGAGACCGTTATGGCCTGGATGCACGCATGTGTTTGCTGTGTACACGAATTTCACACTAATTCATTCTTTATCTTTCATCTTTTTCCCTGAGGGACTGCAGAGTTTCAAATGCTTTCACGGTTTATGTTTCTCTCATCTCCACCCGACTACTGCCATCCAATCAAAACATTGACCTCGGTGCTAATCCCCAATTACAAACCTGTAACTAAACTCATCTTTTCATACTGCCGGAGGCCCGCAGGGCCATGCAGGAGTTCAGGTGGATCTGGAGTCCAGACTGTTGTGCATTTTTCCCTCTTTATGTATTTTACATTGTGCCTCCTATTGAAGTTTTTACTGTGAACTAATTTTTAATGTTAAGAAAAGTGCTTTTCTGTTCCTTCTATATGAGTATTACCCTAGAAAATTATGCTCCAGTCCTCTCTTAAAAGACCCCACATTAATGTAAATGAACCAAAAGATTTATATGGTATGCTTTGCACTGCAGGTCAAGCTGCTTTCAAATTCCATTGTGACGAAATGAGTCATTTACATTATCCAATCCCCCTATCTAGTCACAAAGATTGCGGTTATTATAAGATAATGGACCCTAATTGGACGTCCTACTATCTAACAATAGATCAATGTCAACTTGGCCCAGAAATGACCACACAATTAGAAAAGCCAATACACTGAACTATGGAAAGCATGAGCTCAAAGCTTCAGTGAAACAGGATAAGCACAACCATGTGTGATATGGTAACTTCTTTCTTTTTCACTTGGGCTCATTATACATGTTAGGTCTTTGTGTTTGACTGGAAAATGATGAATTACCTTGGGTCCTGTCACCCGGCCGTCTTTTCTTAATGACCTTGTATTTTCATAGATCATATTTTAGGCAGGCATAGACTATATGTTTCCACTCGCTACACTACTATATCCTGAGTTTATAAAATAAATAGTCAGGTCCAGACTTTTTTACTGTGGTGAAATTAGAGTAGTAAACCTTTTGCAGTCTGGCCAGGCCGGCAGAATGGAGAGACAGGTTGTATGTGTGTGTGTGTGTGTGTCTGTGTGTGTGTGTGTGTGTGTGTGAGTGAGTGTGTGTGTGTGTGTGAGAGAGAGAGAGAGAGAGAGAGAGAGAGAGAGACAGTTAGCAGAAATGCAGTGCAGTGACTAGACAGTTAAAGGTTTGTCAATCTCTCTCTTCACATTGACTCTTTGTTCACCTCCAGTCCTCTTATTCTCTGCTTTTCTAATCAGTCAGCTTTTTTTCCACTAATCTCTACTCTGTATCTATTCATGCTGCTCTCTGCAATGTATCCTGTGTTAGCTTCATTTTAATCAAATCCTCCTTTGTTCCAGGTTCAATTTATTGCCATTGTCCAACACTACATTGTAGACCCATTTTGCTTCAAAAGTAAAGTGAACCTTTTCTTTTTTCTACTTGCTCTACCTCACTGCATTGAGAAGCAGAGCAACTTGAATTTAAATTTAGAATGTGTAAGATTCAGCCCAAACTGAATCTATTCCAGTAAGTAACACTAAAAGTTTTTAGCTCTGGTTTTCAGTCTACACCTAAAAGTCTCTGTGCCAGTGTGCTGGGAAAAATCCAACCTTCCCAGTGACTTAGGACAGCATGGAGTGTGCATGGTTACTGAGGGACAGTCATCTGTGGTTAGTAGGTAGATGTGTGACCTGTCGGGGGGATGTGAGGATGCTTTACTCTTCCTCTCCTCTCTGCTGACAGTGTCTGACTGCATAGGTTGAGATCAGTTTGCCTTGAGGATCTTTGGAAGCTAGAGAACGTTTAAAAACAAGGGATCATCTTGATAACAGCACATTGCTGGCATAAATGTCAGTGTACCAGTTAGGCGTCAGTCAGTAAGTTAGTTCAAATCATTTCAGTGCGATTGGAAATAACGAGCAGCATAACCTTTGGGAGCTAGTGTGGATTTAAGGCTCTTGTTTGATTCTTGTATGTCTCCGTTCTTCTCAGTAAACCTTTAAAGCTTAAAGAAGCTACTGCTCCTGAACATGTCACTGGTCATAAAGCTTTCACTACGTATTTATATGTTGTATATTCTTGTGATTGTTTCATTCATTTACATCACGTCCCCTCTACTTATTTGAAATGGGGCTATGGAGCCCTCTCTATTTACAATTTCAGTGACGTCTCCATCTCTCACTCGCCTGCCTGCTAAAGCTGAGCTAGCGTGACTAAAATACTTAGTCACAGTGCACCTCGGCAGCAGTGAGCCACAGTGTAACTGAGGCTTGGCACTAGCTAACAGGCTTTGGCTATCCCGTCTCTCTCACATCAGTATTTCTCTTTCATTTCACCTAAACTTAACACTATGGATCCAAACAGTCGGTGCAGAGGAACACTAACATTTATATAGTCTGTACTGTATTTACACACAAACACTGAGGGAAAAATATGCAAAGTTACATGTAAAATATAAGATTAACCTCCTAACCCCCTAGCTCCATTCCTCGGAAAAAAAAACTCCTAAAAATACACACCCAAAATGAGTTAGAAATAGCTCTCCCACCATAGGGCTTATATGCATATATCTGGTCTCCTTTCAAAGGTAGGAAGCTAAGAAATATGAATCCATTATAAAAAAAACTGAACTACATTTCCATTCCAAAGAAAATGGAGAAGCAATGAAGGAAAATTATAAGATTTTTTACCTTGCCTAGTATAAAATCTTAATTTCAGATCCAATAGACAATGATGCAACTGAATGTCTTCTCCTACTCTTTGATTTCATTTGCAACTGATGAAAATACACTGGATATGCCCAGGGGGCCTCAGTGTTCTGGCCATATCTACGGTGTACATACTTATTTACTTTACTGTGAGTTTTAGTTCAAAAGACTATTTATTTCCATATAGCGATGTTACCAATAACATAACTACCACCACAACATTGAAATAGTTACAAACACTATTAATATGATCAATATTCACATGACAGTAGAGCTCCATGCTATACAGGCAGATAAATGGAGAATGACAACGCCCACAGTGCTTTACGAAGGATCTATATGTTCCTATGAGATGAGAACATAGATTTAACCGCTGTGTGTTTTCGGGTACATTAGATAGCTCGGAATTTCTAGTTTCCAACGATATGAAGCATGATATTGTAGACTAGAGTGAAGTTTTTTTCAAAAACAGTATAACATTAATATTTTCTATGAATAGACAATCCTGAAATATCTGTATTTCTCAACTTCATGGGTTGCACTCGGTACCGTGGCCGCTCATTCTCAGGAGTTTCAAGTAATAGTTGGCATATTTATCATGCAAAAACACATTAACACACTCAAGGGTCTTGAGACAACTGTGTGACAGGGACCACCCTGTTTCCTGAACATGCACCACCCTAATTACAGACTGTGTGTGCCTTTACCGTGCCTGTGTGTGTGTCTTTGAGTCAAAGCACATGCATCCACTTCATGAATCCAGCTATATATTCCCAATGTCACAGATAGTACTTTTGTTTCTTTTGCTGCCCCTCCCTTCCCCCTCCCCTCGCTCTCTTTTCTCTTCTCTCCCTCCACCCTCCTTCCTCTCTCTCATTTTACAATCTCCCCTTCACAATGTGCCACAGAGACAGTTGATAACAGTCTGTTGACTCTGTGTCAATGCTATTGCTGAGGGAAGGTGTGTAGCTTATCCTGCACAATATGGGCTAAGCCCTCACAGCTAGTGCAAGACATTGATAATCTCTTGTTGTCGCTCTCATACATTAGACATGGTCAGTTATCTGCTGAGCACAAAGCAACATGTATTAGGTGAAAATAGGCATGTCATCAAAGACAATGTTTTGTTTTTGAATAAAGTTTTATCTTTGATAATTACTTTGAAGTCGTAGAGTACGATACGATATGATCTGGCTGATTTTATTTTAAGGTGTTATTTCTGTCACAATTATCACAGAATATCAAATGTAAAAAAACAAGTTAAGATCTGATAGTTTGTGTTGTGTATTTGTCATCTTAAATTAGTTCATTGTTCCAGTCCTGAACAGATGTGAATATAGTATCCAGAGGTACAAGCTTTAGGGCTGTGTGTGTGTGTGTATGTCTGTGTGTGTGTGTGTGTGTGTGTGTAATGAGCACTGCAGTTGTTAGCAGGGGAGGAAGGTACTGTGTCACCGTTCTGTACAGCGGGCATGCAGGTTGGCACAGATGGTGGTGGAATGAGACCCGTACCCGCGGCAGATTTACGCCCCTCTCTCGGGTGTCTGTCTGTGAGTCTCTCCTTTCTCACCCTATCATTCCTCATCTGACAGCCTGAGCATCTGCAACATGTCATGGTGGCCAGACATATGATGTGGTGAGCCATCTAATACCAGAACTAGCCTTGTCTGGCCCACCTCACAGGCACTTTCTTAACAAATAAAATCCTGCTGCTGTTTATGCCCAAATTTTGGTATCGGTCTTTGTGGAATATGTTGCCCCGAGCTTACTTTATTTTCTGTGTCAAGCCATCAGCATGTTATTTTTAAGTATGTCATGACAACTTTTCCCTTTGTCCTCCCTCAGATCGTACTGGGAAGCGCTCCACCATGCCCGACTCACCTGCGGACGTCAAGACACAGTCCAGGTTGACCCCCCCTACCATGCCTCCCCCACCCAGCACGCAAGGAGCACCCCGTAATAGCTCCTACACCCCCACCACATGTGAGTAAAGTCAGGTTGTTGTGGGTTAAGGGGTTATGGTGTAGCAACTGAAGTACATCATCTATTGCAATTGGCTCTTCAATGGTCTAAAAACAGTAGTGGTCCAGTATCAGTGACATCATAGTCACAGCAGACTAGCAGACTTGGTTGTCAGTGCCACAGCATCCTTGACCTCGTGTTCGAAGTTCCATGCAGTGTGGTATACACGTTTCAATTTTGGGAAAAGAGAGCACTACGATAGTATTAGATCAATACTTGGTATCAGCAAATACATTGAGTTGTGATATAGTGGCATCGGTATTGGCAGAGTTGGAAGAGTTGGGTTAGTGCATCCCTACATAATACATTGGTGGTTGAAGTGATGCTGAATCTGAATATATTCCAGACTGATCGCTCTACATCAGACGCATAAGTATAATTCCACCTTAAAGGTGTACAGTGTGTAGCATTTCGGGATATATTTGAGCAGAAATGGAATATGATATTCACAACGTATTAGTGTATAATCACCTATAACTAAGAATTGTTGTGTTTTCTTAGTAGCCCAAAATGGACAAACCAATCGCTGGCTCTAGCGAGAGCCTTACACATTTTCACGTTACCTAAAGTTGCCGTATTACTCCGAACTTGAACTACAGAGTGCAACTATAGTACAGTGTACTGCATTTACATGGTTTTGCACTCTGCCGCTCAAGTTGCTGCAGTCTTGCAGACGCTAGATGCCGCCAAAACCTTCACACTGTACCTTTAAGTCACCCATGGAAAATATACACAGCAACACTTTGAAACAGAGCAGATATGCATGCGCTCATACATGGAAAGACAGTCGCAATATGCATGGCTAAAACCCCCAAATGAAAAACTTGAAAAGCCATCACATCGTAAGACCTCCGTAACAAGTTGTATGGAGCCCTCCCAAATTGCACTCATTCCAAACAACTCCCCTAACAAGTTCATTAACACCCAAGCTTACGAACCCTTGGAGCTTTGCCAGGGCATTCACATAGCCTGTGACGAGCAAATTACACCCTAGTATTTACTTAGAAGTACACACTTAACCACTTGCATGAAGAGCACTAGAATCAAAGAATCAAAGGCCTTGCGGTTCAAAATGCTCAGAGTGCTCAATTTGGCGTTAGTAGTGCTGGTTCTCTGCTCCAGAGGCATTATTTTGTTCTCTTTCAATCACTTATCCTCCCTTTCTTTATCTTTAGCATTTACTTTCTCCCTCTCTCTCTCTCGATCTGTCTGTCTGTCTCTCTCTGTGTCTGTTGCAAACGCTCTCACTCCGCAATTAACATCGGGGCTTCTGTGCAATGAGGGAGGAAAGGCCCAGCTCTCTCATTACGCATGCCGAAGGTTTTAACAAAGCAGTATGCTTTGATTTCCACCCGACGTAATTGTTACCAGATGCAGTTTGAGTATCTCGTCTCTCTCTTTACAGTGGCGGCTTTGGACGGCAGCCAGAGGGGGAGTGAGTGGATTGCTAGTCAAAACCTAATCTCATTAGTGAGAAAGCTTTATGCCGCCTTGTATCTCTTTGTACACCAACTCCCCCAACACATGCGCACACACAAACACACGCTGCTCCCATGCTCTGGCACGACAGGGGGGGGGTCACACTGTCCCTGCTTGTTTAGACTGCTGGGAGGAAGGGAAAGGGAGAAGGAGGTGCAGAGAGGCAACATGTCTCCAAATGCAGAAATATCTTTTTTTCTGAGATGCCGCAAAGTATCAAAGGAGCCGCGATGATTGGAAACAAATGTTGAGGATTGTGAATGTTTTCAAGGGGAATGTAAATCATTCCAAATCACTGGTTTGGTCTCAGTGAAGCTGACGTATGTTATTTCCTTTGTTGGTGTTTGTTCAAGGTAAAGTCAGGGATTTTAGGTGATTGTTTTGGTGATTTGCATATAGAAAGAGTGAATGCAGTGCTACTTTGCCCAATGGAATGTGTCTTTCTCTCAATGCTATTTTTTTGTCTCAAACAGTAACCAATGGCAGCAGCCACTCTCCTACGGCGCTCAACGGTGCTCCATCTCCTCCAAACGGCTACAGCAATGGTCCTAGCTCCTCCTCCTCATCCTCGCTGGCCAACCAGCAGCTGCCGCCGGCCTGCGGCGCCCGGCAGCTCAGCAAGCTCAAGCGCTTCCTCACAACTCTACAGCAGTTTGGCAACGATATCTCACCTGAAATCGGCGAGCGGGTCCGCACATTAGTGCTCGGACTAGTGGTGAGTGGCTTCTGTGTATGAGCTTTAGCTCATAGGGCTCATGGAGTGGAAAATTGACACCGGGCCTATAGTTAACAGAAATGATTTGAGAATAATTCCTAGCATTTGTTCAGCATGCCTGAAATAGCAGATGGAATGAGTTTACTGAATCAAACATTTTAAATAGTGTCAGGTTTTGTTAAAATACTTTGAAATACTTATCACTGATTATAAAAACCTCAGGGGTATTTCTTCAAGGTTTGCTTTTATTTTCTTATGTCAGAAACTTCACCCATCTGGTCCTCCAGGCGTAAGTATAAAGTAAACACAGAGATTTGTGAACCTCTGCCTCTAGGCTTGACACAATACCTCACGAAACAATGGCCGTCTGTTGTCCTCTGAGAACAAGAACAACATCAGACCATTCTTGAATTTCCATTGCACTTATTTAAATTCAAATACAACACACAAAAACATGGAAAACCAGAGGCAACATTAGAGTTGTTACTTTAACATCATTATCACTTATCACTAAGGTTGTGCAGGTGTGTTGCAATTAGAATTTGTTCGAATTTGCAAACATCAAACTACATTTATCCAACAGAGATTTCATAAGACAGATGTGTTTCTCCAGCTTAGCTGACATCACTATATGAATGTGTTATGAAATACATGTGCAAATCTAAAGATCTACTGCACGTCTTTGTGATCTGAGAAGATTTGAGTTAACGAGCAGGGGAATACAGAAATAGTGATTGTATGTCGTGCAGAAAGGAGGAGGCGGAGTAGATGGAGGGAAGGATTTTTTTTTAATTAGCCTCAGAGAGCATAGCCTCCTTTTGGCTTCACTATGTTTATTATTCTCACCGTCTACATATACACATGCCTCTCCTGTGTTGTTTTAGCTCACATACACCCCCCCTCTATATACTATATCTCTCTCCTTCTCTTCCTCTCTAGCTCACTGTCTCTCTGTCCCTCCCCTTGCCTTATTGAAAAGAGTGACACCGTTAATTAGCTAGTTGTGTGCTGGGGAGAGGGAGACTCAGGAGGTTTCACTAGCTGTCAAGAACAGCCCCTACGCAATCTGGGTGAACAGATGTAAGGCTGAATGTAACAAAATCCAGGTCTGGGAAATAACACAGAGAGTGTGGGGAGGAAAAATGGTATCTGCTGCTTTTTTATGTTTTTTTCTTCGTCTCGCTTGATTCTTTTGCTTTTTTCCCCCTTTGTTTGTATTTATGCTTGTTATGGAGGAGATACTTCTCCCATGTGCACGCTCTCGTCTTTCTCCTCTCTTTTTCACTCTTTCTCTCTGTTCTGCATCGTGGGAATAGTTCATGTAGAAAATTTCAAATAGTGTCACGGCTGTCTTGTCAGTCATTAATGTGAGTTATAGGCGAGACTTTGTTTTGGTGTTGACAAACTGAAACGTATAACCCACCGGACCCCCCCACTGCTCCAAACATACACTCCCTCCTGGTTGCAACCACACAGAAACGACACAAATACCCTCTCCCACTAAATATATTACACCCTCTCTGTCCTCATTTTCCTGCATGGTCCATAATGTATTTTGGTCACCTTGGTCTTATCTGGTCTGTGAAAAGAGCCAGGCAGTTATTTGGTTGGCACTGATCGAGGGAGGGCACAGGCGTGCAGCATTATGGCACAAGTGTGTCAGGCTCATGTACTGTGTTGATAAGGACGAGGGTGTCATCCATGTACACGTATACAACAGAAAATATGTGTGCAAACATCCAAATGAATGTCAAAGTAATGGAAACAAAAAAAAGCAATGAAGAAGGGAAAAAGATCACGCCCCCTGTGATGATACAAGGAGGCTCAAATCAAAGCTTCTTTAATCAAAGAAGTGAGATTCACAATATCCTGTTCAAAACTGAAATAAATGTACTATTTTAATAGACATATATTACGGAATGCGCTCCAAGAAATGTGCACATTTTCCTTCATGTCACAGTTGTCTTTAGAATATTAAATTGTTCTATATAGATTCATAATAAAAAAACAAGCAGATCTGAGCTAATTTGAAAACAGACAATTCAACTGCTCTTAAAAGTTTGTTGTTTTTAAATTAGCCGATCATGTTCAAAAACTGAATTTTTGATTTTAAAAAATGAGGCACAATTCTTCCTCATGCAGCATATTTTTTTGATGATGTGACTCCTGCATGTGTATTTGTTTTGTTAATTGAAGGAGATGTGTGTCTTTGTTTCTGTGGGTCTTTTCACTGCGGCCTACCCATATGCTTCCTATTACAAAACCCGAAACATTCACTCCAGGCCAGGATACAGCTTAGCTTCCAATAAGTAATATTTTCACTTAATGCCTTCCACATGGATTCATGTGTTTTCTCTCTGTTTCTCTCTCTCCTCCAGAATTCCACGCTTACCATCGAAGAATTCCACTCCAAGCTCCAAGAAGCCACCAACTTCCCTCTGCGACCTTTTGTCATACCCTTTCTGAAGGTAGATATTTAAATATGCATTTGCTACGGAAGGTTTGCCTGCCTCCCTGACTGATCGACCTACTCTGGAAAACTTATAGCCAGCCCAGATCCAGATGTGCATACTTGTGTGTTTCTCCCTCTCTTTATCCCTCTCTTTTCTTCATTTCTTCTTCCTCAGTTTCTCTGCAATTTCACTAAGTACAGTCTCTCTCATTCTGTGTCTCACATCATCTTTTTTTTCCTCTTGCTCATTCTGTCAATATCTTGTCAATACTGAGGCTGATCTCACTCTCTTAGGTTCACTCTGTTTAAGGTTTGCAACTTTGTTCAGGCTGTAATTTTCCTGTGCAATATTTGAAATGGAACAAGTTTTTTGTTGTTGTTATTGTTTTTAAGAAACTTGCTTAACGTGTACAGAGCACAATGGCTGTGCATGTGACCTGAGAACAACGTCTCCTTTCATGTGCTCCAGCCTCCACCACTTTCTCTGAGGCTGTCTTTGTCATCGATTCCTCATCCCACTAAAGCCACACTTTTAGCAAGTATTTCCCATTTCCAGCCATTAGCATGGCATATTAACCCTCTTTTAAGCATCCAGTTGTGCCCTTTTTTCGGCCCATTTGTCACCGGTCACCTATTTTCAATCACAACGGCACAGCTCTCATCTCTTTATTCCAGTCTGGGAGATGAAAATTAAGAGGGATGGTTGGATTTTCTGTTTGTATCTACAGGTGAAATAGTGTCCATTTCTGTACATTTGGGCTGTTCGTGTCAGATAGGTCCATATTGTAAGTGTCTACAGGAATTGAGGAACTACAGCAGTCTGGAGGCAACACTGGTGGTGTCGGCGGTATGATTTGTTTTGGTAGTCAAAGAGGACAAATGGGTCTGGGGGTTTATATTGAGGGATGTACTGTGCAGCAGCAGTTTAGATCATGTAATGGGGTGTAGGTGAAGCCGAGATCAATATCAGTGTGCAACTGAGAGACGGAGAGCAGAGACACGCATGACATTTAACATAAAGCTCATTTGTTTCTATTACAGGCTCTGTTTTGTTTTCTCGCTTTGTTTTTTCTTATTCCTTTCTCTTCCCCCCTCCATCCTATTCTGGATTCATCTGCCTACTTCTTCCTCGTTATCTATTCCCCATCCCTTATTTATCCCGCCCTCCCCTGCTCTACCTGTTTGTGTCTGAGTGACAGGCACGAGGTAAATGTTATTTGTGAAAACAAGACAGTCCATTCATACTTTATGCTGTGTGTATGCATGGGTGCATTTGCAGATGTGCGCATGTGTGAGTTGACATTCACAAGCCTATATTATCCACTATGGTCCTGAGTGGATGTGGAATTGGTCCCACTAGAATCGTTGTTACTGGCTGTTAACAACACTAACAGGGACTTGGTGTCCTCCCTGTGCCCTTTTCCCCATCACTCCCTTATTGTAGTTGCGTTCATATTTTTCTGCTTTGCCTCACCTTCTCATTTGTTCTCCCTCCATATCTTTCTGTCTTTATCCCTATGCTGTTTCTGTTTACTGTTCCCCATCTATCCATCCTCCAGTCCCTCCTTCCCTTTCCTTCTCCTCGCCAGATGGTTAGTGTATCACTGGGATGGCTGTGGAATCAAAGATGCAACTCTTTTTTTTTTCCCTCCACCACTCCTTCTCTGCCTCTCTCTATCCCCAGTCTAATTTTAGTGTCTTGCCACTGCAGAGCCTTTAATGCCCGCTACCATATGGTAGCAGAGAGCAGTTGGAAGTGTAGGGAAGCTTTTATAGGTGCGTCGAAGCACAGCTGCAACAATGCGCGTCAGGGCTCAGAGTTTTTCATTACGTTAATGTTAGACCAAGCCGACCCCTCCAATTCCCCCACCTCCACCCAAACCCACTCAATTCCTTTCCCCTTCTCTTAATACTAAACCGCAAATTGGTTGGGACTCTTTACTGGAAGGAGGCAATCATAAACCACACAGCGCCAGTGACGTGATGAGTTGGCGGGACGCCCGCAACACAAGACAACAGGCTCACAGAGTAACAGTGTTTCTCTAGTTTCAAGTTAAAGTTGAGCTTTTTTTTTTAACTCCCTAGTGTTTTGTTTTTCTGGTGTCGTGATGAAGTGAGAGGAGTGCTTCGAGGCAGAGGCGTAAACACATTTACCTAAAGAGAGAGAGAGAGAGAGAGAGAGAGAAAGTCATGACAGGAAATCATTTAAATAGGACAATAAACACGTTTCCTAGATTCTCCTTTAACTGCAAATTACACAGAAACAGAAAGTTGATGAAGTGCAGTATATCCTGAATGTGGCATATTCTGAATAGTTTTTTGGCATCGTTTGACAAAATGACAAATCCAGTATTTTCACAATAAATCATCCCGGGCAGATTTTAGCTGTGGCTGCTGAACACTACTTGGAATTTTCCTTTTATGCAAGTGCAGATGTTGGTTACCATAACTGCACAGAAGCAAATCGCCTTACTTTGTCATATGAAAAATGATCCGGTCTCTTCAATGGTCTGCATTTCTTGACTCAGACTTTTTGTTAATGCATCCCCCATCTCTGGCAATTAGGATGACCTCTAATTAATGAAAGATGAGTTCACCAGGGTCAAAGCAATCTATTTTATGCTCTTTCTTTCAGAGGGTAATTACGATCATAAACTATTAACGGACCATTAACTCGGGCAGGTAAAGCGAAGGCCAGCGCTTGGCATTTCTTTTACTGCAGCCAATTACTGGAGAGGGATTTTGTATGATTATGAAATATAAATCCCACTAAACAAATCATGGTTGTGTTTTGCAAGTATTATTTCTGTATGCAGTTGGCAAGGACAAGACTGAATGGTCAAAGAAACGGAAGCAAATTCGTGAGCTAATGTAGGACGGGAGGAATGACAGAGCGAATGAAAGCCTTTAGATTATGAAACGAAAAAAATAGGGAAAGGAAACAACAAAGCATGAGACTTGGAGAGAGATTATGTTATTGAGGACAAAACAAAGATTAACAGACATAAAACTTAAAGAGATGTGATGTACCTCGCTAAAATAGTCCCCACTCTCATTCTGAACCAGCCTGACGAAACACTTTCATCTTCTTGCTTCAAAAACGCACCCCATCAGATGTCTTTGAAGTCTGCGCGCACATACCTGCATGACCCACAGAAGAAAGCATACCCCCTTGTTATGTCAAAGAGATGGAAAATAGCTGCTGTTTCTTTATATATATTTGAGAAAAACAATGTATATGCCATGGAGAAACCTTTTGGGTGTTAATGCACTCTGAGTCACAGGAAGTGGTGGTGGTTCAGTGGTAATAAGCAAACAGGGGTCAGATGACATGGAAGAAATGGGCCTCTTGTTATTTCAAATTGGTGCTTTTGGTATGAAAAGATGGGAAAAAGCTTTTATCACAACATCATATTTGTATGTGCTTTATGAGCGTTACATTTTGTTTCAGATCTAAGAGATGCATCAATCTGTTTGAATTTATCTTTGTTGTAATTTAATTATCAACAACTTATACTATATTATATTTAGCACATGAGTAGAACTTGAATATTCCAGCTGCATATTTTCTCTTTTGGGATAAAGTGATTTTATTGTTTTATGCAGTTCTGAATCTTCATTAGTATGTTTTTCCTACAAAATACATTTATTTAAGTAGTAAAAACAGCTCAGCTCAGAATCTGACAGATTTTGTAATTGTTTCCCAAATTAGCCAAAAAACTAACAGAGAGCATCTCAGAAAGAAGAGTGAGTGACTGAGCGAGTCATTTTTTTACAGGCAAAAAGGCAGATGTGATATTTATATTCTTGTCTAAAACATCCAGAACAAATGTTACATTTCCTCTGGTAATACAGTGACGTTTCCTTCTGCAGGCCAACCTGCCGCTCCTTCAGAGGGAGCTGCTGCACTGTGCCAGGCTGGCCAAGCAGAACCCAGCTCAGTACCTGGCCCAGCATGAGCAGCTGCTCCTGGACACCAGCACCACCTCCCCAGTGGACTCCTCTGAACTCCTGCTGGACGTCAACGAGAACGGCAAGAGAAGGACACCAGACAGGTGGGTGAATTAGAAAGTCAGAACACTAGTTTGACGGTATGGGACTGATTTGGTTCATGCATTTACCAGCTCCAAACATTAAAGCAGCTGAGTTTTTTTACTCTGTTATTTGATCTCATACATGAATCCCTTTTAGACTGCCTGCTTATCCATGAACCCATACAATGCTCCACAGGAACAAGCTTAGCCAATGCAGGGCAATAGTGTGATGTGTTCATGTATGGGAAGTGTCTGTCAGTGTGCCTCATGACGTGCTCCGTTGGACATCTCAGCTCCCGGCTCCTGCTCTTAATGGGCCAGAACTGAGGAGAGGCTACCCCCCCCCCCCTCCTCCCTCACACACACACACTCTCTCACACACACACACACACACACACACACACACACAAACAAATGGAAGGAAGGCAGACAGTTGTGCCTTAATGGAAAGTGTGAATGTGTGTGAATGTGTATTCTGTGTAAGTTACCATTGACTTCCATGGTTGATTGGGTGTGTGAGTACACAGAGTGTGCCTGCGTGTGTGTATTTCTCTCTCTGCATCAGTTCAACCCCCCACCCCAGCCAAATCATTACATCCGTTTGTTGTCACAGACTTTGGTAATGACTCAATGTTCTCTGCTCTAATGGACAAGCACTAAGATGTGCCGTCCAGGAACACACAGCACTAAAAACCTATAGTCATCTCTCCAACAGTCTTCCCCAGAGCAGCAGAAAAAGAAACAAACACAAAACCCGCAAGCCCAACGCCAAGCATGTCTGCATGTTCAAGACTGTGGCTCTTTCCCAGTCCAATAACGTACACTTTTTTTGGTAGAGCTGCAATACAACAAAAAAATACCATCAGCATCTACACAGTATATAGCTTGGCATGCATATTCGGCCAAAATTGGCTTTACACGAATCACACCCGTACACATATTCTTCCATTCAACATTAATAAGCATTTTTAACTTCTTGAACAGAAGTTTGCGAACATTTGTGTGTGTGCACTGTGGTGAGTTTGTGCCAGTGCTTTGAGGACAATGTGTGCATGGTCTTTTGAAATAAAGAGTAATTCTCCTGTGGTCTAAAATTTTTAATACAGGCAGGGGAGAGGAAAATGTACTTTTTATATTTGCTGAGGGACAAAAATGCCAAAAGCAATATTAATAATTTTCACCTCTCTTTTCCCCCCAACAGTCGGATAGGCAGACTTTTTCTGTAATACCTGCATATTTGCAGGCCGTCTAGTGCTTAGGGGAGTGAGCTTAGGGGAAAAGGTGTGTGTGTGTGTGTGTGTGTGTGTGTGTGTGTGTGTGTGTGTGTG